CTAACGTGGGCAGCAGAGTTCTTGACAAAGAAGGTTTTCTAGGAAGATTTCCACCTCCAGTTTATCACGATGAAGATGGAATTGCCAATGTACTTGCTATGCGCGAGATGATTGCTGCGGGATACCGTATTACTATGGATACTGATGCTGACAATGCTTTTATTGTGCATTGTGATGGAAACAGAAAGATGCGATTTGTGAATCGTAAGGGTGTGTATGTGTTGGAGCAACTTGGAGCAAATGTCGAACCAGGTGCCAAAGAGACAAATGCGATTTACCATCGCCAGTTAAGCAACTTAAATAATCAACCCCATTTCGAACTTTCTTCAAACAAACAGAATGGATATGCTGGACTCGAGATGACCTCCAAGATGGCAACTGTTCGAAAGAACAAGGAAGGATTCACTCCAAGACAAGTCAAGGCTGCGATGGAAGCAAGAAGTGCAATGCACATACTCAATGCTCCAAGCACCAAAAGTCTGAAGTATGCGATCCGATCTGGTCTCATCAAGAACTGTCCTATCACCAAAGAAGCGATCAATCATGCTGAAGCAATCTTTGGACCTGACGCCTCTACATTGAAAGGCAAGTCAACAAGACCAACTCCGAAGAAGACATACAACGACTTCTTCAGTCCACCAGAGGAATTATATCAGCACAATCGATCTATTACCGTCTGTATTGATCACATGGAGATCAAGAATGCTAAGTTTCTCACCTGCATTGATACCACTGTGCGTTATTGCTCATGTATTCCCGTGCAGAACCTGAAGACTGACCCTGTATTTGAAGCACTGAATAAGATATTCCGCCACTACGTAACAAGGCAAGCTTTCAAGTCACAATCATCAAGTGTGATCGGGCGTTCATTCCTCTCACGGATGATATGCTAGACGATATGGGTGTTACTATTGACCCAACTGCAGCTGGAGACCGCGAGCCTACCGCTGAGAATTGAAACCGTTGAATAACAAGTTAAAATCTGGGATTTGTACCAAAGAAGGAAGTCGCAGTACTAAAGACAGTAAAGCTATTCTTGAAGCACAGCACAATCTATGTTTCCAACAGATTGGGAATGAGATGAAAGCTGATTATGAAGAGCACGATGCTATTCTGATCGCTCGTTGCATGATGCAGATCAAGGCCAAGTTCAATACTGACGAAGGTCTGAACTCCATTCAACAATATGACATCAATCAAGGACTGAAGAAGTTTGGTGATGATGGAAAGGATGCTGTGGATAAGGAATTGAGACAAATGCTCCTGAGAGATTGTTTTGCTCTCAAATTTGTTAAAGACATGACCGCTTCTGAGCGAAAGTAGGCCCAATCAGCGATGATGTTAATTAAAGGTCGCCTAGTATACCGAGGCGATGGAACTCGTGAATGGTTATTGCGAGAGGACACTGCAAGTCCAACTGCTTTGCAGGAGGCAATCACCACTACTTGTGATATTGATGCACACAAAGGTAGGGATATAATGACAATGGACGTGCCTAACGCTTTCATTCAAACTTATATGCCTGAAGCTAAGGAAGGAGAAGATCGTGTCTACATGAAAATCACTGGCATGATGGTCCAGATATTGATTGACATGGCCCCAGAGTATTGCAAATACGTTGTATTAGAGAACGGAAAGCGAGTAATCTATGTGCGGGTACTATGTGCTATATATGGGATGTTGCAATCGAGCCTCCTATTCTATAATCAGTTTCAAAGTGATTTGGAGGCAAAGGGATTTGTTTTCAATCCATGACGCGGGTGTTGCTAACAAAGTTGTTGATGAAAAACAGCAAACTATCAGATTTCATGTTGACAATCTTATGTCAAGTCACATGGATCGGAAAGTAAATGACAAATTTGCTAAGTGGCTGAACATGAGATATGGTTCAATCAAGGCATGTACAATCGTCAGAGGAAAGATACACAGATATCTTGGAATCACTTTGGATTTCTTGGTGAAAGGAAAACTCAAGACCCGCATGGACGACTATGTCAAGAACATGTTGGAAGATTTTCCTATCAAGTTCAACAAGGATTCAAAGCAGAAAACACCAGCTGGTAACAATTTGCTGGAAGCTGGTAAAGGGAAGTTACTCAATGCTGAGTACCGTCAGATTTTTCATACTACTGTTGCAAGGGGTCTTTATGTCTCTAAGCGAGCTCGTTTGGATATCCATCCAAAGATTACTATTCTTGCCTTGAGAGTTCAAGAACCTACAGAGTCTGATTGGAAGAAGTGTGTTTGCATGATGCGGTATTTGTTTTGTACATCGTTGTATCACCTGACACTTTCTGCATAATCACTACGAGTCATGAAATGGATGATCGACACATTCTTTGGTGCATCCAGATTTCAAGAGCCACACTGGCTGTATATGCAACTGATTGAAATATTACGGTGTTTAGTTGAGCTTGGAAGAAGTCTCAATGATGTCTTTGTACAATGCCATGCCTTGTGTTGGACACTTTCATGCGGTATTACACCTTTTTGGTTATCTTGAAACACATCCGAGCCGCGAAATTGACATGGATTCCGCATATATGGCTCTTGTTGGGAAATGACAAAATATAAGTTTTATGTTCCAAAAAGAAACTATTCAAGTACGAAGTTTTCAACACGTACGATTGGACTTTGATTGTGATGTCGGGATTCATTGCAAGTATGCCGGACGCAAGTCTGTTGGACAGTCTACATCCACACAAAAAGGGAATGACCCTACACAAGTGAGATATCGGTGTTGTGTACGATGCAAGATGTCCCAAAGTACTGCATTCAACACAGAATTGTCATAGAGGTCAGACAAGTTCTGTAAACAAGTGATTTTCCAAGGGAAAATTGTTGAACTTACTTTTGTGATTGAATCATCAATTCAAGCCAAATATCAATCAAATCGGAACAATTTCACTCAAAGTATACCTAGACACAGGAGAACTATTGTCGTGAAAGTGTTGTACAGTCGATTACAAATTTAGATTGCAGAGAGTTTGTTCTGAGCGCTAAAGGCTCTCACAACAGAGCACATTTTGCTTTATTCTAACACTTGTGTTGGGTTCAAAACCTTGAAAAGAGCTCTTCCAGATGGTTGATTGCACGAGTCCCTTTCCTTTACGGAGACGGACAATGACAGGTGCTGTATCTGTTCCTTTGTTGACATTCATGCCATGTCTGCGAATTATCCATCCATGCTTCATGGCCAGCATATTTTCCAGCAAAAATCTGGATCATCTCGCCTTTGAGAGCGTATAAATCTACCATCCTTTATCTTATGATGATTGTTGCATGGTATTTTTCCTCCGTCGTGCTGGGTATGTGTACTTGTTGACAATGAAACGGAGTTGTTGGTGTATTCAACATGAAAGTATTTGAAATTCTCTTGGCCATCACTAATGTTGAAACGAAGGGTTGGCGTGCACGCAAAGGTAGACTTTGTTGTAGATTTTGTCGTAAATTTTGTCGTAGGGTGTTGTAATTTGTCGTATGTTTGTCTTAATTTGTCGTAGCTTGTCATAAGTTGTCATAAGTTGTCGTTAATATTTTACGACAAAATTTATGACAAAAGACTTGTCATTAATTATAGCTCCACTGTTTTGGAGAAATAAAACAATGTTTTGCCCCCTTTGTACCCGTAAATGATGGAGGAATTCGATGGAACAAAGTGGAGCTTGAATTTGATGCCTCCGTGCTGAGGGAGGAGGAAAAGTCTGTCTGTTTCCCATCACACTTTGGTTTCAATACAATCTGAGGCGTGTCCCTGGGGGGAAGCACTTTTTCTTTAGTCTTCCCCAATTTAGGGGCCCCAAGTTCTACTTTTGGGTCAAATCGAAACATGACAAACCAGTTCGAAACATGACAAACCAGTTTGCAGCTAATTTGGAGGTCATGCTGAATATAGTCCTTCCGGCATCCTGCGTCAAACAGATGCAGTTACGTCAATCCCACGTCAAACTCAAGGGAGGCCAGAAACACAATGTTATGAGAGCACAGTCAGGCTCCGACATCAGCTACTTCACCATGCTATATGGGCTACAGTTCTGGATTCGTTTCTCAGAAGTACTTGGCTTCATATCCAAAAATTTCACAGTTCCAAGCTTGGCTAAACCAATTTGGATTGATACCAGCAGGACAGCACCTATCGCAAGCATATGTTTATCATAGTTATGGATCCAAATACCTTGCAATGATTGGAACTTTTTCATTTTGCAAAAACCACATACTACCTTGTTCTTTGGTGTTCAACAAGAATTCTGGATGCAATAAGTTCCTAAAAAAATGAGACAAGGAGAGCAGAAAGGCAGATTTTGAAAGGAATGGGAGACATTGCCAGATCCCTGGCCAAGTATGCCTATAAAAGAAAGATCAGTCCCAATATTGCCAAATCCGTTCTCAAATATATTTTCTACAAGATTTTTGAGCAGTACTATATCTAGGGGATTCCTTTGATGAGCAAGACAGTGATATCTGTTGGTGAATTTCATCAAGGGCTTCAACAAACTCATTGATAAGGTTGTTGTGTCTTGCTTGGACAATAGCATTATTGCCATTATGTGCCCAAGCTTTATTGATTTCCATCAGTCCATTGTTCAAGAAATGGGCAACTCTCATTGGAATGAGAGTGGTGTTGGGATATGACGAAATATGAGTTTTTACGTTCCAAAAGAAACTATTCAAGTACAAATTTTTCCACATGTGCGATTGGATGTTGATCGCGATGTCAGTATTCAACTCAAGTATGCCGTACAATCTATATCCACATGAAAAGGGAATGACAGTATACAAGTGAGATATTGATGTTGTGTATGATGCAGTAGGGAATAATACAAGATGTCCCAAAGTACAGTATTCCACACAGAATCCTTGTAGAAGTTGAATCGAGTTCTGTAAACCAGGGATTTTCAAAGGGAAAATTGTTGAACTTACTTGTGTGATTGAATCATCAATTCAAGCCAAACATTAATCAAATAGGAACAATTTCACTCAAAGTATACCTAACACAGGAGAACTATTGCCGTGAAAGTGTTGTATAGTTGATTGCAAATTTAGATTGCAGAGAGTTTGTTCTGAGCGCTAAAGGCTCTCACGATAGAGCAAAATTTGCTTTATTCTAACATTCAATCAAAACAAATTTACGTCAAGAACAGCACTGCCTTATCTACAAATGAGTGAGTGATTTGTTGACAATGGGACGTTCTTCATCCGGTGGTGGAAGAGGATGTGTGACTCCTCAGAAAGTCAAGAGCAACTCGAGTTCAACAGAAAGGCAAGATCGTTGTACAAAGTGATGGATTACATCCAAGCTTCCGGAATGAAGTGCTCCGAAGACATGGTGAAATCGATTTGCGATGGGAATTTGATCAACTTCAATGGGATCGCTCCAAGATTGAACGCTCCAACTCAAACTGAAGCTGTTGCAAGAGAAACAGAGATGGACCAAAACAAGATTCTCTATTCTGCAAAGCTCGACGAGAACATGCGAAGATCAGACTACTTTGAGACAAACAAGAGAACTGTCAAATCAAACATCATGCTGAAGTTTGTGACAAAGGCGATGGATATCAAGCTTCAGGGTGAAGCCAATTTCACGACTACTCTTGAAGATCCGATCGAACTCTTGAAACGTATTGAACAATTCATGAAGAAGAGTGCTGATGCTGAGAATGATTTCTTGGAAGCAAATCAAAATTTCTTTGCTATGAAGCAAGGAACAACGGAAAACTTGATGCATTTCAAGGAACGATTCTTGAGACAGGCTGAAGTCCTGCAATATCTATATGGCGTGGCCTGGTTCCGAGATTTTGCCATCAAGACAAAAGCGTATGCTGCTATTGCTAGCACCGATACTGCTGCTCAAAACAAGTTCAAGGATGATATCTTTGAAGCCGTTCTTGCAACAGGATTTCTGTGCAACTGCGATCAAACGAGAACAGCTCCTCTGATGCTGGATCTTCAGACAAACTATTGCAGATAAGTGGATTATTATCCCAAGACGGTCAGCAAAGCACAAGATATGTTGAAGATTCACATGGAGGTGATTAAAATCCGGGAGTGAATGTTAGAATAAAGCAAAATGTGCTCTATGGTGAGTGCCTCTGCAATCTAAATTCGTAATCGGCTGTACAACACTTTCACAACAATAGTTCTCCTGTGTCCAGGTATACTTTGAGTGGAATTGTTCCTATTTGATTAATATTTGGCTTGAATTGATGATTCAATCACAAAAGTAAGTTCCAAAATTTTCCCTTGTTTACAGAACTTGATTCGACCTCTACGACAATTCTGTGTTGGATGCAGTACTTTGGGACATCTTGTATTATTCCCTACTGCATTGTACACAACACCGATATCACACTTGTATAGGGTCGTTCCCATTTTGTGTGGATGTAGATTGTCCAACAGACTTGCATCTGGCATACTTGCATCAAATCCCAACATCACGATCAAAGTCCGATCGTACGTGTCAAAAACTTCGTACTTGAATAGTTTCTTTTTGGAACGTAAAAACTCATATTTTGTCATATCCCAACACACTCCTGCCATTGTGACAATCACCATTGGCTGCAATAGGATATGCTGTCATTCACTGTTTATTTTTGTTTTGTATTTTCATTCTTTTTTTGAACATATATACCTGTCTGACCTATTCCTGTGGACCAAGAATCAGATCCCTGAACTTGCGAAACTTCTCACCTTGCAATGGCTTAGTCATGAAATCCGCAATCATATTGTCAGTTGGACAGTATTCGATCTTAACATTTCCTTTCTCAACTTGATCTGTGATAAAGAAATAACGAATATTGATAGCTCGGCTTCTTTTGCCTGCGCTCTTGCAACCATGTCAGGTGATACAACGATAAACAAAACAAATATCGCATCATGCGAACACACTTTCTCGAACTCTCGAGGCAAGAATAGTAATCTTTGGATGGATATCCAAACGAGCTCTCTTAGAGACATAAAGTCCCCTTGCAACAGTAGTACAAAATATCTGAGGGTACTCAGCACTAAGTAACTTCCCTTTACCAGCTTCCAGTAAATCGTTACCAGCTGGTGTTTTCTGCTTTGAATCCTTGTTGAACTTGATAGGAAAATCTTCCAACAGGATCTTAAGTTTTCCTTTCACCAAGAAATCCAAAGTCATTCCAAGATATCTGTGTATCTTTCGTCCTGAACAAATTCGGGAGTGAAACAATCTCTCAGGAGCATTTGTCTCAATTCCTTATCCACAGCATCCTTTCCATCATCACCAAACTTCTACAGTCCTTGGTTGATGTAATACTGTTGAATGAAGTTCAGACCTTCATCAGTATCAAACTTTGCCTTGATCTGCATCATGCAACGAGCGATCAGAAAAGCGTTGTGCTCTTCATAATCAGCTTTCATCTCATTCCTAATCTGTTGGACACATAGATTGTGCTTTGCTTCAAGGATAGCTTTACTGTCTCTAGTACTGCGATTTCCTTCTTTGGTACGAATACCAAATTTTAACTTGTTCTTCAACGGTTTCAATTCTCTTTCTTGATGCTTGCGTCTTGTCGCAACTCGATTCTTGTTCTTATTGGCAGAACTGCCACTCCTGCTTGAAGGCCATTCTCTTGGTTTCTTTGGAACTTGAGAAAGATTCAGCCCAGACATTGCAGCTTGCGCATACGTTTGTCCAGATCAAGTGACTTTTGCTACTTGAGCTCTTCAGGCTCAAATACAATCTCTTCTTCTGGCGGTTCTTGTAGGTGCTCCAGATCAGTAACAAGGCTCCCAATATCATCGGTTCCTCTATCGACATTTTCTTGATGGTGATCCAAATCGGCCACAATAGGTTCTTCCTCTTCATTGCCTTCATCACCCCAATCGTCGTCTGATTCATAGTCATAATCTCCCATATCATCGACATCATTGTCTGCATCTGCCAAGAGCTCTTCTCTTTTGGAGTCATTGATATCATCGAATTGTCCATGTAGGTTGAAATCACGTTCATCTTCATCTTCAGGTTCATAGTCCTGATCAAAGGCTTCTTCTAAGTAACCTTATTCCGTGTCATCCACTCCTGCGATTTGATCGCCATCTTGAAATGTCTCCAAATCTCTTCTTATCGAAGAACTTCATGGAAGTAACACCTTTGGCAGCAGCCCAAGCTTCAACACGCTGGATTACTTGATTGGTAACGGGTAGTACAACGCCCTTGGGTGGGGAAATCATCTTCTTAGTATTGAGGTTGAGCCCTTGGTGCCCTGTAAGTTGTCCCTTCGTAGGTTCAATGTAAATCGCTTCGATACTTCCGGGTTCCATCATATTGCTGGAATCCGTCCCAATTGCATGAACATATTGTCCAAGTTCGGCAACCATGTCACTCTTGTAGTTGATATTGACATTATCAATAAGTTGCTGCGGACTGAAATGTGATGAGATACTGTCTTTCTGGGGAAAGACATTCAATAGCTCCGCGACTTGACGTCCAAGACATTCAGTGATCACCTGTGGGACCACTTTGTAGGGTAATTGTGCAAGAGCTACTCTGACTCTTTCTTTCAGCGTCCTATTGTTTTGCTCAGCGGTAGGCTCGTGGTCTCCAGCTGCAGTTGGGTCAATAGTAACACCCATATTGTCTAGCATATCATGCGTGAGAGGAATGAACGCCCGATCACACTTGATGATCTTGACTTGAAAGCCTGCCTTGTTGTAGTGTCGGAATATCTTATCCAATGCTTCAAATACAGGGTCAGTCTTCAGGTTCTGCACGGGAATACATGAGCGATAACACACAGTGGTATCAATGCAGGTGAGAAACTTAGCATTCTCGATCTCCATGTGATCAATACAGACGGTAATAGATCGATTGTGCTGATAAAATTCCTCTGGTGGACTGAAGAAGTCGTCGTACGTCTTCTTCGGAGTTGGTCTTGTTGACTTGCCTTTCAATGTAGAGGCGTCAGGTCCAAAGATTGCTTCGGCATGATTGATCGCTTCTTTGGTGATAGGACAGTTCTTGATGAGACCAGATCGGATTGCATACTTCAGACTTTTGGTGCTTGGAGCATTG